CCTAAACCCTAAACCCTGAACTGGCGCCCCTCCTGCCTTGCAAAGGACGGGTCACAAGCATCTGCGTGTGATAGATACGTCATCTCCAGCACCTGTCCGCTTTTCTTACCTTTGGCTAGTAGGGTTTAGGGTTTAGGGTTTAGGGTTTAGGGTTTAGGGTTTAGGGTTTAGGGTTAGTTATACTTGTCCCCATTCCTCCATTCCCTACTAACCAAAGGTAAGCTTTTGGGCGTGGGCTTTTGGTGCTTTTGATAGCATGAGCGGGCTGAGACATTCTGAGAAAGCTTGGGACGGCTTAGGGTTTAGGGTTTAGGGTTTGGGGTTTAGGGTTTAGGGTTTAGGAGTACCGGAATCTACCCAAATTTCTCACTCAGACATGGCTCAGCGTCGGGCCCTTTTCCGTTTCAACTCTTGACGCAGACAGTTCTCCCTGCGTCGTCCGTCATTGTACAGCTGGCGCATCAGCATGGCGTGGGTTTTGCACTGCTACTACGCCACACGTGATCTTGGGCTGTGCCTTTGTGCTTTCGAAATCTCACAGGTCTATTCGTAGTAAACTGAAAACCTACAGCCTCAACCCCTCAACCCAAAAATCCCCAGCAAGAATAGAACCTGACCCAGTTCGTAACGCTTGCAATACAACCCCAAACCCCAGTAGCCGAATATCTTTTATGTTAACCCCAGCAATAAACCCTGAACCCGATTCGTACCCTCAGAGCATAAGCCTACACGAGTAGCTTACTATCTTAATATCTGTTCTGTTTAGGAGCTTGTTTATCGGCAAGGTCTGCAGGTTGGACTTGTGCCGAGCGCTCGGAGGGCCCTGACATGGAACAGAAATATGAATACTGGCAAGTGTGATCTTGACAACAATGGTACTATCACCCAGCAACAATGCTACTTTGATTACGATTACGGTTGCGCCGCTCTTACTTACTGTTGCTCTTACTCTTGCGATTACGATTGCGGTTGCCATTTCCGGTTTCTTCTTCTGCTACTACTACTACTACTACTACTACTACTAGTACTACTACTACTACTACTACTACTACTACTACTACTTCTACTACTACTTCTACTACTACTACTGAAACTACTGCTAACGATCACGATTATTGCTATTATTACTATTAGAACTAGTATTACTACTATTAACATTGCTAGTGCTGTTTCTGTTGCAATTACTCTTAATGGTAGTCTTGTTGTTGCTGTTGATCTATTCGATATTGCTGATGCTATTACGATTACCAGTACGATTGCTAGAGCTAGCATTCGCGCTAGGAGTAGTTCTACTGCTAGTACTAGTACTGGTGCTAGTCAAAGTATCATTACCACTAACAACAGTTGCTGTAAGTATGACAAGTCCTACTACGATTCGGGTGACGGTGACGGTGAGTAGTAGTAGTAGTAGTAGTAGTAGTAGTAGTAGTTGTTGTAGTAGTTGTAGTAGTTATAGTGGTAGTAAAAGAAAATTGGTATTGCTATTGAACTATTGCATTCAGTATTGCTACTGCCTTCGCTATAGCCAATACTATCCGTATCACAAATACCATTTCCATAGCCAATACACGTACCATTACAACCACCCGTTACTACCATTATTACCATGACTCTGATCGTTATAGGTATAGCTAGACATCATTTCTCTATATCAAATTGACCTTAACTGGTCATTCCTAAAGTCGTGCATCTCTACTCGTGGCTGTCCAACTTCAGGGCCACCCCCAAGTGAAGGTGAGAGCACCTGCAAGGACCTTGGAGTGAAACGCTCCTGGAAAAACACCAACAAGGGGAAGCTTAGTTAATGACATGCTAGGGCGGGCATACTCGGTGAAGGTACAGGAAGATTACGAGGTAAAAGTAGATCAAGGACAGCAAGGACGAGTATTGCTACTTCTTGTCATGGTCACAGATGGTCTGACACCCTTAAGATCCTCAACATCACAAAGCACGGGACTGGTTTGCCCTCAGCTCTGTATGAAAGCCGTAGGCAAGCGGGTGAAACTTCCTGGGTGGAAACTTTGCCAGGCCCTCGTCCAGGCTCATAGAGAAACGCAGTCATCACTTGGCTACGATGTCGCTTCCTTACTTGGAGGCTCATGGGTAGTTGTAAGTAGGGTTATAAGTCCTCTTATATGGGTTATAGCTATAGCTATGCTGCTTCTAACCCTCCCATCAACCTCCAAGTACTTGTCCAGTTTTAAGCAGAACTGTCAACCTTTGGGATGATAATGTAGGGGCCCTACTAATTAGAATAGGGTCTTGCGGGCCATTCTACTACAACTAGAATGAGGAGCCCCCGGAGTAGTATAGGCAATTCTTTAGGCCCCGATATTATCGGGATTATGCCTGAACCCTAAACCTAAACCCCTAAGCCCTAAACCCTAAACCCTAAATCCCTACAGGAGCCATGAGCAGGTGAACACCCTTGGCCCTAAACCCTGACTTCTGCTGCTAAGCCTCCCTTCTCCATCATCTTGACGAACTCATCGAAGGAGATCTGGCCGTCCCCGTCGAGGTCTACCTGGAGATTTCAGAAACTCCGCGACCCGTGTCGAACCGAAATAGTGGCGTTGAGGGTTTAGAGTGTAAGGTTTAGGGCAGTCTGGGGCTGAAAATGAACAGAAACCCTCTGCCGATCCCACCTCCTTGACCATATTCATGATGACCTCGCCGTCAGCCTGCTCCTTGAGGATAGAACCGAGCTCTTGCTTCGTGATCGTGCCATCTCCGTCCTTTTAGGGCCCCCAAAGGGACACTGTGCAGGATTATCCCTTCCCTGCGCGGGCTAAATTCGAAAGATTTTTTATGGGATGTCTGGTTATGGGTGGCCCTGTTCCTTGTCGAAGACACGGAAGGCCGACCAAAGGACGTCTCGTTTGAGGTACTGCTTCTGGTTCAACGTGGCGGCAATGAACTCTGTGTAGTCGATGTTGCCCGAGCCATCCGTGTCTAAATTCTTCATGATCTCGATGAGGTCCGCCGGAATCTCAATGGCACTGTCTTTGATGCCATTCCTGGGCTTTGAAGTAACCAGGGAGAAAAAAGTATAGACTTCTATTTAATAATGGCCCCCTTAAGGAGCAGGTCCCCCAAAAAAAGTAGTAAAGCATAGCACTCCAAAGCCCAGATTCTGTATCTCCTCGATGGTTAAAGTCCCATCCTTGTTCTTGTCGAGCAGCAGGAATGTTGTGCGGAGCTGTTCCTTACTTCGCCAATAAGCCAGGGAAATAAAAGGTTAAACTTTCAGATTACTACTAAACCCTAAACCCTAAACCCTAAACACTAAACCCTAAACCCTAAACCCTATAAGAACCCAAAAAGCTTAAAGGTTGAATCTTGGGGAGCCAAGGTTCCAAATCTTCATCCTTGAGCTGTTGTGCGATGAGGGTCAGGGCCACCTTTTTTAGGGTTTTTGTTGGGGCTTTAGGGGTTTAGGATTCTTGAGCTTTTGGGGGTTTTTGGGGCTTGAGGGGTTTGGGTTTGTTTAGGCTTTTTAGGGTTTTAGGGTTTAGGGTTTTGGTGGTTTTTAGGGTTTTTTAGGGTTTTTAGGGTTTAGGGTTCTTGTGTTTTTTAGGGTTTTTTTAGGGTTTTTAGGGTTTAGGGTTTTTTGGGTTTTGGGTTTAAGGGCCACCTTCTTCATGCGCGAGCCCTCATTGAACTTCCTGAGGTGCTTGCACAAGTCCTTAGCCACCTTGCCCTTGGGCAACTCTGCATTCTTGTCGAGCCAGCGATGCTCCAACATCTTGGCTGCGGTAGGTCGCTTGTCCGCGTTGAAGGTGAGCATCAGCGAGATGCACTCTTTGGCTTCAGCAGACACGTCGTCCCAGTCCTACAATCAGGAGTACAGTCTAAGCAGAGAAAGCTGAACAAGAAGCCCTCATACACCCCTCCGCGCTGAGTCTTCCAAGTCCTCTGGTGGAAAGGTGAAGTTACCCTTCTTGACCATGCGGAGAATGTCGGGATCCGAGTCGCCATAGAAAGGTGGATAACCACACAGCCTCACATGTTGAGTCTGGAGAAATCCGGGCAAAAAACATTCGAGAGCACACATCGCATGTTTTGCCCTGGCCAAGCAGCAAAATGTAGCAGATGACTCCGCAACTCCACACATCACCTTACTTGTCCAGTTTCCTAGAGGGGACAACAGGTTGACCTTTGGGATGATCTACTGTAGGGATCTAGGGATCATAGTGCCCCATGAAGCTGATATATTACATACTCGACAACTCTACACCCCACCCCTTAAAACCCTAAACCCCTAAAGTTGAGCCCTACAACCTAAAGCCTAAACCCCTCAAGTTGAACCCGAAACCCCAAAACCCCTCAAGGATTCCCAAACCCTAAACCCCTCAAACCCCTAAAAACCCCTAAAATCCCCTAAAAGGAACCCACAAACCCCGCCACGTCACACTTCTCGTCGTAGCAGCCTTGCAGCACCTGGTAGTTTCAGAGAACTAGGGTACCTTATCCTGGGGTCGGGGGACTTAGTAAATGGTTATTTTACAGACTTATAACTACTTTAACCACAATTAGGGTCCCTTTTAGAGTACTTATAAGTCTACTTATTACCTACTTACTAAGTCTCCCGACCCTCCAAGTATTCTGGGGTCCTTATCTTAAGGGTCCTACTATTTAGGGTACTATATTACGGTCCCCTATTTTCGGGAACCCC